ACCAACACCATGAAGAATTACGATAGTAGCAAGTTGCCAAAATAGATACTTCATTCACAAACTTATAAAATAAAGGAAAATGAACTCGATCATATAACTCATTTAAAGTTTAAATAAACTCAGTATTCGATGTGGTCCTTCTTCCAGAATAAATGAACGAAACACAAGACCTTAATTAGAACGCCAAGGTTGCTTGCATCGCTACCGTCTTCCAATGGTCATCAACTGCAAAATGTCAAAGAATATTTTTAATGGATTGCTTTTAATACTTAAAAATTAAATGAGCCAGTGAACTCATTGCAAGCATAAGTATTAAAATTGTATAATTAAATGACTCATTAACTCATTTTATTTTAATATGAGTATTGCTTTTAATTATGAGATGGCTTATTGAGTATTAAATGTTATAATTCACGTGCAATAAAAAAAATTCAATAAAATAAAATCAAAATAAGCCATTAATTCACATGCATGATGCATTGACCGACTTTGAGCATTGAAATGTCTTTCTTGAGTGCTCATATATCACCCTATTGTATAACAAAAGAAGCCATTCAAAATCAAAGTCTGATTTCTAACTTGGACTGTGACTATGATCAAGTGTAAAATAAATTTATATTTATATTAATAAATTAAAAATAATAGAAAATTTAACAAAATTTATGGAGTTATCGACACGCATATATAAATGACATTTTTTTATTAACAGTCTTATAACAGTAGAGGGTCTAGTATATACATCAGTACTGGAGAATGGCGCTTGGTAGAAATGTTCTCAATCCATATACTTGAATCTTGCTCAACAGGTACTGCTTAGATCCTTTCAATATATATAAATATGAAGCAAAACAGTAGAATGCTTGGCGGCAATGTTCATTCTCAAGTCAATTGTAAGATTTGATTATTTCTATTCAACCACAAAAGACTAGAATGCAAGATCACGCGAAAGGAACGTTGAAACCATTAGAAATATCCTCAGGCAAATGACACTCAGATTCTTTAATAAAAAGACAATAATAGGAGATGGGAAGATATTGTTCATGTTAGAGACCAATTGGATTCATTTTAGATTAGTAAAAACGATGTTTTAGCACGTCAGAAGATATACCGAAACAAAAAAAAGTATATTTTATTGAAAATATAATATTTAAAATAATTAATGCATTAAAATTTATAATATATTTTTTAAAAAGATAAAAATTTATCATGCATATTTTTTTATAACATACTCTACCCATTAAAAAAATAAAATAAAAACACATTGAATAAAATATTCTAATATTATTTATTTCAAATTTCAATTTGCGTAGTTAGTTAAATTTAAGAATTTATTATTTATTTGTTTATTTATTTTATTTAACATATTTTTTAAAATAATTTCCCTTTCCAACACACGCTCGGAATTCGGAATGAAAGACCAGTGCACGAGTAGCTATTTTCTTACTTCTTAAACGGGGATAGAGATCCCAAAATAAAGGCGAGAAATAACTGTAAAATTGTGAAAAATAAAAAATAAAAAAATAGTATAGTTTTTTTTTTAAATACCAGTAATATAATTTTTAACGTACTTTTTATAAAAAAAATTATTAATTTACAAATGAAATCAATATAATTTTTATAATTTAAAATTAATAATAAAAGATGTGTTTTTAGAGATTGACCGTTCGGCGGTTTCGTTGACAGTTGAAAGTTGAAACTGAGTCTGAAATATAAACGTCAGAGATAAACAGTCACGCGTGACTCGCTCACGCTTCACATTTGACAGCACTCTGCTCTCTCTCTCTCTCTCTCTCTCTCTCTCTCTCTCTTTTGCTTTACAAGAAAACTCAACTGCTATGTTTGTCGATCAACAGGGATCGCGAAGAAAAGACAAAATAAAGAAAAGAAACAACACATGTCAAATTCTCAAAATATTAAATAAAAAAATGATGTGAGATATGAGATTCCTTCCCATAGTTAATGCTATGTTTAGAAAGAAAGCAGAAGAATGTTAATAAAAACAAATAGAATTGGAATATATTGTTTAAATAAACAAAAATAGAAAAAAATAAAAAAATTTATTTTTGTATACTTAAATGAATATGAAAATAAAAATAAATAAATGATATTAATTTTTTATAATACTTTAAAATTTTAAAAAAATTATTATATATTTTCATCTGAATAGAAATTTATTATTTACGTTTTGGATGTAAAATATTAATTTTATTTTTAAATAATTAAATAAAAAATTGAATTATTAATATTTAGTCTAGAATAACTCTTATCCATTGAGTTACATATTTAATAATAAAATAATTTTCTAATTGATAATAAAGGTCTTATAAAAGTATTATTTCATTTTTATTTATTTATTTTTCATATTTTCTTATTTTAAATTACTTAAAATTTAGTTATTTGTTATTGCTCTTCAACTCAAATTTTTCTATTTTCCTTTTCAAATTAAATAAAAAATATAACATATTTTTTTATACCAAATAAGTTTTAAAAATTATTTATCAATTTTGTTACTATTTTTTCCTTTAATTTCGTTTGTCTTGATTGCATTTTTAGTTCCTATACTTTAATATATGTATGATTTTAGTCCTCTTAATTTTAATTATATATTTTAATTCTCTTAAATTTTTAAACATATCATCTTAGTCTCTTGAGTTTTAATTGTTAAACATTTGGTCCTCAAAATTTTAAAATGTGTATTTTGATCTCTCTAGTTTTAATTGTTCACATTTGATTCTTTTAACTTTTTAAAGGTATGTTTGATTTCTCTTTTAAAAAAGATTTTTTAATTTTTTCCCCTAAATATAGTATAAATTTATACTATATTTAAAAAAAATTAAAAACTCTTTTAAAAATAGAAAACAAACATACCCTAAATATATGATTTTGGTCTCTTATTTTTAATTTTTTACATTTATTCTCTCTAATTTTTCAAATTCAGTCTTTCATTAAATTTTCTATTATATTTTATACATTTTTATTTTATATTATTATTATTTAAAAATTTAATATATTTTTTACTTATTTGTATAAATCAATAAAGTGTCATATCTTAATTATATTTTTTATTAATTATTAGATAAAATTGAGACAGAAAATTTAATTAAAATATTTTGAATAAATTAAAAAGACTAAATATGAATAATTAAAATTAAAAAAACTAAAATTGTATATTTAAAAATTAGAAGGACCAAAATTGTATATTTAAAAAATTAAAGAGACTAAATATGAATAATTAAAATTAATAGGATTAAAATAATATTTTTAAAAATTAGAAAAATTAAATATAAATACTTAAAATTACAGGACTAAAATTAAAGTATAAAAGTGCATTTAATTTATTTTTTTTGTTATTGTTATTCTTCAATCATAAAAAAATGTGATGTGGATTGTTTCTCCAAATATTAATGTTTTATAAAAATATTATTTATATAATAAAAGTGAGTTGATATTCATTAGCTTATTTAATTTTAATAAACAGCTAATAACAATAAAAATTTATTAGAAAAAGAAGTATTTATTATATTTTTATAAAATTAATATAATAACTATATATTTTTTAAATTAAATTTTTTATTTATAGATATTTAAATTTAATTCTAAAGACTGAAGTTAATAAATTTTTCTTAAAAATTATATATATATATATATATATATATATATATATAAGTTATTATAATTACTATGTTCGAACAATGAACGAAATATTTTTTACTCCCGAGATGATTTCCACACCCGCCCCTTTTCTTACTGTTTTTCAAATCTGATCAAGTTTCACTTTCAAAATACAAGTCAAAGTCACATTTCCTTTCATCAGTTTTAAAAAGAAATTGATTTGATCGGTTTGTGAAATTAATGTCATTAATGATAATAATATTAGGAATGATTTAATTATTGTTGCATATGAGAAGTTGCAAGAAGAAGCTACAGAGCATGTATCTAACAACTTGAAGAAAATGCCTAGGCTCCTCGGTTTAAGGTGCCCATCCATAAATAGGTCTACCAACATATTATTACATGCCTTGTTTGCATTTTCTTATAGGTGGTACATATGTGGTTATGACTTTAATGTAAACATTAATGGGTTTCATTTTGGTGGAAAATTGCATTTCTATAATCAGTTATTGCATGTTTTATTCATGATTGCCTTAAGTTCTTCACGAGAAATAAAATTATTTGATTCCTTACTTTCTATTTATGAAATTTTAGTTTGCCTTATATTAATGGGCGTTGATTAACTAGAGACTAATCACAAACAACATATTAATTCATGCATGTACAGAAAGGCCACGAATCTATAAAACTTGCCGTCCCATTGATACATATTAACTCCACACTTGTTATAGCTTAATAAAATTATGATACGGTTCTCAATAGAGAAAAAAAAGCCTCTAGTATCATCACAATACGTATGTTGTAACTAACACTACCACCAATAATGTATCTTTTTCTTACCTGTCCAAAACAACCACGCAATGGTTGTTAGTTGTTTACATTCAAAACTTGCAGTATCCTCTATTAGTTACCGTATTTAATATTTCTCCCCATCCTATGCAAGTAATTTAAACGTGGTTTAGATCAGAGTTTGGACATTTGAAACTTTAGTTTGAAGAATGTAAACTTAATTTCATCGATAAATAACATGTTTGATAAAATTATGATTCAGAAAAATTTAAAGATAATTTTATAGTATTTTAGAAATTAAAAAAAGGAAATACCTTTTAGATAGACCAACCCATGACTCACCTACTACAGTCCAAACGCATGTTATTTGATCCTCCCTTGCAAAATTACTTTGATGTTTATGATTCTTAAAAAGTTGTTTCTGATCTAGCATTAGCATTGGCATAGCATTTTCATGGGATATTATTGCGGAGGATAAAGACGGTGTCCGCTTGTAACAACGAAAGATATAGACATTGTGGTCAACCGTGTAGTGTCTCTCCCTACATTATCATATTTTCACATATTAATTAAACGAAAGGCAATGACAAGTGTCTCCCGGTGCCAACTAAGCTGAACACTGGTCAGTAGTACATGACTAGTGTGGTATGCGTGCCCAAGTGCACTCAAACGCTCTCTCTCTCTTTTTGGAATAAATTGAGGAGGCTCTCCATTCTCAAATCTCAAACACACTCACCACTGTGTGTCGGAGAGGGAAGCTCTCACGATGAAAAACCAACTATTCTTCCTATGCATTCTATTCTCAGTAGGAAAAGTGGTTGTGGGTCTGAACCAAGAAGGGCTATACCTGTACCAGTTGAAGCTCTCACTTGACGACCCAGACTCAACGCTCTCGTCCTGGAACTCAAGGGATAGCAGTCCTTGCAACTGGTATGGGGTAACTTGCGACCCAACAAACAGCACAGTTACCGAACTGGACCTCTCCGACACCAACATCGGAGGCCCATTCCCCGCTTCAATCCTCTGTCGTCTCCCCAACCTCGTCTCCATAAACCTCTTCAACAACTCCATCAACGAAACCCTGCCTCTCCAAATCTCCCTCTGCCGTAACCTCGTACACCTCGACCTCTCCCAGAATCTTCTCACTGGTCCTCTCCCTCACACTTTGCCCCTTCTCCCCAACCTCCGCTACCTCGACCTCACCGGCAACAATTTCTCCGGCCCCATCCCCGACTCATTTGGAAGCTTCCAGAACCTCGAGGTAATTTCCCTTGTCTCCAACCTTCTAGAAGGTACCATTCCCTCATCTCTCGGCAACCTCACCTCCTTGAAAATGCTCAACCTCTCTTACAACCCCTTTTTCCCGGGTCGGATCCCTCCGGAGCTAGGGAACCTCACGAACCTCGAGGTCCTGTGGCTTACCCAATGCAACCTTGTTGGCGTCATTCCAAACTCGCTCGGGAACCTCAAGAAGCTCCAGGACTTGGACCTCGCGCTCAACGATCTCTACGGTTCCATACCGAGCTCGATCACTGAGTTAACCAGCTTGAGGCAGATTGAGTTGTACAATAACTCGTTGTCTGGCGAGTTGCCTCGGGGGATGGGGAACCTCACTAAGTTGAGGCTTCTCGACGCTTCCATGAATCACTTGACTGGGAAGATTCCAGAGGACTTATGTGCTTTGCCGCTTGAGAGTCTTAATCTGTATGAGAATCGTTTCGAGGGCGAGTTGCCGGCGACCATTGCCAACTCGCCGAATCTCTACGAGTTGCGGTTGTTTGGAAACCGGCTAACCGGGAAGTTGCCGGAAAATCTTGGAAAGCGTTCGCCTCTCCTGTGGCTTGACGTTTCGAATAACCAGTTCTGGGGGCCCATTCCGGCGACGCTGTGCGATCTCGGGGTGTTGGAGGAGCTTCTGGTAATATACAACCTTTTCTCCGGCGAGATTCCGGCGAGCCTGGGCACGTGCCAGAGTTTGACACGTGTGAGGCTGGGGTTCAACCGGTTGTCCGGCGAGGTTCCGGCGGGGATATGGGGGCTACCCCACGTGTATCTACTAGAACTGGTTGATAACTCGTTCTCGGGTTCCATCGCGAAGACCATTGCTGGGGCAGGGAACCTTTCTTTGTTGATTTTGTCAAAGAACAACTTCACGGGAACAGTTCCCGATGAGGTTGGGTGGTTGGAAAATCTTGTGGAATTTTCTGCCAGTGATAACATGTTCAGTGGTTCGTTGCCTGATAGCATTGTGAATCTTGGGCAACTTGGTATTCTTGATTTTCATAACAATAGGCTCTCTGGAGAGCTTCCTAAGGGGATTCGTTCTTGGAAGAAGCTTAATGATTTGAATTTGGCCAACAATGAGATTGGTGGGAGGATTCCCGATGAGATTGGGAGTTTGTCTGTGCTGAATTTTCTAGATCTTTCTAGAAACCACTTTTCAGGGAAAGTCCCACGTGGGTTGCAGAATCTGAAGCTCAATCAGCTCAATTTGTCTTATAATCGTCTTTCTGGGGAACTTCCCCCTCTCTTGGCTAAGGATATGTACAGGTCTAGTTTCCTTGGAAATCCTGGTTTGTGTGGGGATTTGAAGGGTCTGTGTGATGGCAGGAGTGAAGAAAAGAGTGTGGGTTATGTTTGGTTGCTTCGGACCATTTTCATTGTTGCCACCTTGGTGTTACTTGTTGGTGTGGTTTGGTTTTACTTTAGGTATAAGAATTTTCAGGACGCGAAAAGGGCTATCGACAAATCGAAATGGACGTTGATGTCATTTCATAAACTGGGTTTTAGTGAAGATGAGATTTTGAATTGCCTTGATGAGGATAATGTGATTGGAAGTGGGTCCTCGGGGAAAGTCTACAAGGTTGGACTTAGCAGTGGGGAGGCTGTTGCTGTAAAGAAGATATGGGGAGGGGTAAGGAAGGAAATAGAGAGTGGGGATGTTGAAAAGGGTAGGGTTCAGGACAATGCTTTTGATGCAGAGGTTGAAACTTTGGGCAAAATCAGGCACAAGAACATCGTGAAGCTTTGGTGTTGCTGCACCACCAGGGATTGCAAGCTCTTGGTTTATGAATATATGCCAAATGGTAGCCTTGGTGATTTGCTGCATAGCAGTAAAGGAGGGTTGTTAGATTGGCCAACCAGATACAAGATAGCTGTTGATGCTGCAGAAGGCCTCTCTTATTTGCATCATGACTGTGTTCCCCCAATTGTTCATAGAGATGTGAAATCTAACAATATATTATTGGATGGGGACTTTGGTGCAAGGGTGGCAGATTTTGGAGTAGCTAAGGCAGTTGAAACCACACCGAAAGGAACTAAATCCATGTCCGTCATTGCTGGGTCTTGTGGCTATATTGCACCAGGTAAATATCATGTTATTTAATTTTCTAATTTCATCTTCTTTTGATGATTTTGAAATGCATTTAGCGGTAATACATGTACATTTTGCTTAACTCATAGTATTATGGTTTGGTGGGTCATTGGAGTAATTTGATTCTTGGCCCATTGCTGTCGGATGTGTGTGCATCTTATCTTCCATAGACCCTACAATTACAAACCACGACGATGGTAGTCTCATGCATGGGCAACACTCTTTTAAATGTTTTGTTGCTTAGCGACAAGTGGTTTGTTTTTCTTGGCATTATAGCTCATCCTTGTACTTGTATGTAAAATAAGAATACTACATGGTGGTCTATATACAGGTTGTCTACCATCTTTTGTAATCATAGTTGTAGATCTGTATTCACTGATGTTTCAGTTTAGTATTTCTGTTTCTTTGAAGCCAAATTGACATGCTCATTTTCTCGTGCAGAATATGCATACACGCTAAGAGTGAATGAGAAGAGTGACATATATAGTTTTGGAGTTGTCATTCTTGAGTTGGTTACCGGAAGACGCCCTGTAGACCCTGAATTTGGGGAGAAAGACTTGGTTAAGTGGGTGTGTACTACCTTGGATCAAAAAGGCGTGGACCATGTAATTGACTCGAGGCTTGATTCTTGGTTCAAAGAAGAAATTTGCAAGGTCTTTAACATTGGTCTCATGTGCACTAGTCCTCTTCCAATTAACCGACCTTCAATGAGAAGAGTGGTGAAGATGTTGCAAGAGGTGGGCACAGAGAACCAAACGAAGTCTGCAAAGAAAGATGGGAAGTTATCTCCTTATTACTATGACGATGCCTCAGATCATGGAAGTGTTGCTTAATTGAAGTCCAAGCAAGGGTTGGTTTATTTTATCCCAAAGGGGGAGTTCGAAGCTTTTCTTTTACTGTAGGCCAACTTCCCTCCATGTTTCAGAGCGCATGCTGCGCTTCACAAAGTTGACTAAAGAAAAGAGAATTAGAGAATAGGAATTTTATTTTATTATATTTTTTATTTTGGTAGGAAAATAGAGGCTTGAGGAGTTGATATTTTTACCCTATAAACTATAATATGTCCATATCAAGCGCTTCCCTACTAAAGTTAAATTGCTGTTTGCATTACAAACTTTTAGTCATAAATGATATTTCCTTCGTTAAAAAGCTTCCTTTTTATGGGTATATTTGTTAGAAATATTTTTACCTGTCTCCAGCTTGGGTCAGCTGAATTTTAAAAAATTGCAGTGTCAACGGCTTAGAAATTCTGTTTTTTATTTTCTATTATTTTAGTTATTTGTCCTAGAAAGGGTCTCATGGTCATTTGGACCTAAGGAGATTCTGAAATGGAGATAAGATACGAGAAGCCACATAAATATTGTCCATTAATTAAGATAGAGGAAAATACTAGAACTAGCAAAGCTATGCTTCCCCCTTTAATAGCTTCAAAATTCTAAAAGCAGCATACTACATAATTTCAGTTTACTTTGGTATTACCTAATAGAAGGTGATCTCCCTAAATAGGGAATCTATATCCTGTTCAATGTTCATGCTTAAATGCTTGTAATTTTCTGGATGTTCAAGTTTTAATGTGGACTATCCTTGGGTTGAGAATTTACATCTCATGTTGCCCCCAATAAAATGTGATGGGTGTAGCTATTATAGCTGAGTCAATGAGGTCGTTAAGGAGGGTTTGTCTCTGGGCCCTCTCTTTATATTGCTGGTTTCGTTCCTTTGGGTTGCTTTCTACTTTTTATGTGAGTAATGGTGATGGGGTATATATTAATCTTTCGGAAAATGACTAAGGCACTTTCTTAGTGATATTTTTGCTATATTGAACAGTGGATTTTTGCCAGTTCTTGCTAGTTCTTATTCTGTCCAGTGGATATTTATTTGTCAACCACTTTATTGTCTGAAGAAAGGTAAACGAACTAATTGTAAGATTGATGAAAGATTGAGCATTTTAACCACCCACTTTAATTTAAGTTCTCTGTATAGAGAGTAGCACAGTACCCAACAACAGAATGTGACACTGTTATCACTGCTTGTTGGATTTCTCTGGCTAGGCTTTGCTTGGTTAAGCGTTGCTTTTGTCGGAAGACTTATTGCTAAAAATGCTCTGTAGTTCCTGCCAAATGCATCACGACTCACACATCTTTTTCTGTATCTTTGCTTAATGGCTCCCGAAACGTGTCACCACTGCATGTGGTTCACTTTTGAAAACCAGTGAGTGAAGCCGAATGCCAAGCCAATGCATGGGTTTTAAATGTGGATGCTGTAGGTCCATTCCGTGGCGGGGTGGCTCAGTCGTACTCTACACCCCCTATTCCAAAACAACTTCGTTCCTATGATAAAATTTACCAACATTTATTGATCAAGAATTCAAATTTTGAAAGCCTATCTTTGAAGTTTAGAAGAAGATATTTTGAAAAATATATATACAATATCTCTTCATTGCGTGAATGCACATTTTCTTTAAAGAATTTATTTTTTGGTAAATTTGCCTTTACTGATAATAAAACTCAAGTGTAAGATTTTAATGACGAATTTCCTTCGCATGTAATGAAGAAGCTTGAGTAGGTTTAAACTTTCAAAACTCAACCGTGACAACAGCAATTTTTATGAATAACATTTTATTTATTATTTCTTGCATACTAAAAATAATTCATGTATTTATGAATGATTTGAGATAATGATGTAAAAATAATTGCTTCTTGTTGATAGAGAATACTCTTATTTATAGACATTTTATGTTTATTGAAGAGAAGAATCAATTTTGTGTTCTCATAAATAGACATACCATTTTAACTATATTTATTCATATTTAAATTAAAACATTATAACCATTGCATTAAACAAAGATTATTTTTTAATTTGAATGAATAAAAATAATCCTTCAATTTTTATCTAAGTGAATCGATACAATTTTTTTTATAAAAAAAAATATAACTCTCCATTATTTAAAATATTTTTCACATTTTCTATCCAATACGTAATTCTACCGTTCTGATAAAATGCTAATAATAATAGAAACAATAATAGTAGTAATAATAAAATCTTTGTACTTTTTTTTTATTTTCATCAAATGATGTTTAATTAGTTAACATTTCATTTAATTTACTTTCATAATTCAGACAAGATAAGCCACTAAAGTTAAGACTTAAATTCACAAAGATGTACCAATTAGAATAAATCCAAGTGGTGCACATTTAATTTTATTATATATATTTATATAATTTTTTTTCTCATGAAGAATACTTATATTATAGAGGGAAAAAGTACAATGACCTCAAGCAAGATTCTAACATCTTGGTAACTGGTGATGGATGGATCAAAATTAATAATTAAAGTTAAATTACATCATTGGTATAAAATATTATTTATATTTTATAATAATATATTGTTATGTCATTTAATAAATTTAATTAAACTTTATATTATAAATGAGAATATTCTATTGGTGGAGCAGTAAAGTGAGCGAACTCGCTTAGTGAAAAGCTTACTATAACATGAGATTGCTCATCTTGTCTACTTTTTTTTTTTTAAGTGTTTTAGATTTTTTAGTCTAATTTATTAAAAGGTAGGTTAACAAGCTCACATGTCAGCTCCCTAAAAACAAAAACAAAAAAATTAAAAATAGATTGACAAACTAATAAGTTAATAAGTAGACCTACTTAAAATTAATATAAAAGATAGTAAGAATTAATAAAATTTATTTTCATATTAATAAAAATTAATATTTAATTAATAAATAATTACATTTTTTTAAAGTTTAAAATTGGGTTTAGTTGACTAGTTCAATGCAAGCTAAAATAAGGCAAGTTGACAAATACAAAATCTTTAGCTTGACCCACATTTTTTGTGAGTTTATCCCAATCCACTTTATTCCTTTTATTTATATAAAAACTGAAATATTTAATGAAGTTACTCTCTTTTATAGTTAGTTACTTATATTTTTTTAATATTAAAATTGACTCAAAATGATGTGTTAATTGCACTCCCTTATTACAAATTGTTTAATTTTTACTTTTAAAGATAAAGGTTTTTATTTAATTTTTTCTTATGGTACTTTCTATGGTACATATAAATTTGAGATATTATTGTATATTTTCTTTAAATCCTCTAATATTTTAAAAACTAAAAAGTATTTATACTTTTTTTAAATAACTTATTAACTCCACTATTTATTAATATAAAATTGGCGGTGAAAATTATTCTAAATATGATAGAACATTCTAACTCTCTCAATTTAGCATTATAGAAATTACCATTTTTATTATCTTGTATAAAATTTTATATTTTTCATAAATATTTATATTTTCATTTATAAAAATTCTTTAATCCCTTATTTTTATAGTTATAGTGTAAAGTTAAAATACTTTTTTTAAAAATTGTTGTTAAAATTTATTATATATAATTATTTTAAAAACTTATTAATTTTTTAACTATTATTATTATTATATATATATATATATATTAAAATATCTATGCATTGCACAAGCTACTAACTAATATCTTATAAATATTGTAGCATTATATAATTACATGAAAAAAATATAGAATTCTTTTTCATTAATAATGCATTAAAATTAATAAACATCTCACGTAATTTCGTCACTTGGAGCAACCAATGTGGCTTGAACTCATAAGCGAACTTGTTTCATAGCAAGTTAACGGTAGCTTGGGTTAAACTAAAATCATATATGAAGTATCATTGGTTCATTGACCAAAGATAATAAGACTTGAAACTTCGATTGAAAATAAAATAAACAAAATCGAGGTCTAAGTTAAAAGACATTTTACAAATTTCCAAATTTAAAATAGGAGCACTGTAGTTAAAATTTTTATTTTTTATATTTGGAGCTGTTAACTTGTTAATTTGGTTTAAAACGAAAACAGAAGGCTTTATTTAAACGAAAATCAACATGTACCTTCCAAACCAAAATCATTAATGATCTTTTATTCATGCAAATTATAGTTAAGTAAATTGTTAAATGGGTTTATTAGTAGGATTAAATTTCCCTGCCCTAAATTGAAAATGATTTCAATTTGATGACCTAGATTCAGCTTCGTTAGTTGGTTAAGATATAAAGGTATAAACAATTAGTGGGCCTACTAAGAGATAGGAAATAAGCCCATGAAGATCAATGTGGCTTTGGTATAGTTTCAACTTACATCTTTGTGGATTTAGTAGATTGTAACAGGTTTTATCTAACATGGTTTATATAACGGAGTTGTTTTTCATTTTTAATACTACAATTTACTCTCTGTTTCAATTAGACTATTTATGCTTTATGTTAAATCATCCAGTGTGTGTACAGCTGCAGCATCTTCATCTTCCTTGCCTTTGCATCTTCTTTCACTATCAATGCATCATCAATTAAAATAAATGATAAATCTTATTAAAATCAATCTCAAATAGAAATTGAATTTGTAAATAATTTAGCAAAAATATTCTTTAATTAATAACTTATTTTAAGTTCAAATTTCTTAAGCTTGTTCATACAAATTTTTCTGAATTTTTTAACGTGTTTTTTTTAACGAGATATAGATAAAAAGATAATAAAAGAAAAAGTGTTTCCCTTTAGATTGACCGTTGTCATTTTTTTAATATATTAAAGATTAAAGAATATTTATATTTTTTAAATAAATTAATAATTTTTAATATAAAATTAAAGGTAATAATTATTTTACGTGTGAGAAGATATAAAATGTTTTCTTAATTCATAAGATTCCATAAAAATTACAAAGAAAAAAATTATTACAGTACTTATAAATTTGACAAAATATTACATAATTTTTTTAATTAATAGTTATAATTTAATCTAATATTTTAGAGATTAAAAAATAATTATATTTTTTATAAATAAAAAACTAACTCTACTATTTATTAATATAAAATTAATGATAATGGAATAGGTTATAAGAAACGGATCATAAAAGATTTTAAATTCAACGGTTAAAATTAGACTTCAAAGCAACTTGATCATAAGTATATGCTATATTAAAAGTGTTATGAGATATCAAAGCGTTGACTTCGAATTTGTTTAAATAAATTTAAATTTGCTTAAAAAAAATTTTTTGCTTAAGCTAACTGCATCTCCAATGCCAAAGGTCATGCCATCTTTGTCCCTCTCACTGGAATCAAATATTACAACTAATACCTCATTGTCATCTCATATTGAAGCGTTGAGACCTTGTATGTCACTGCTCATTTTCCATAGCCCAAGGGTTTGTGGTAATAGTTTATAAAGCTCATATCACTTGGAAACTTCCTTGCATCGTTGATAACAATATCCACCCTCATTAATTCTTGCCATGGGTGCTGCCAAATTTTGAATTTAATCTTAAGAAACCTTAAATAGTATCTACTAGTGCCACAAAGAAACAGAAGACCATTATTCCAGATTAGATGAGCCTATCCTGCATCCATGGCTTCCTTACAACCATCAAAATAGTATCAAGTCAAGAGAGCACCAATAAACATTTCTATGCCACAAAGTATCACATTGGTTACCTAGCAACAAATCAAATGCTATATATATACACACTAAGAGTTTCAATTTAAAATTGTCTAAAGTATCTTATTTAAAAATGTCTACAAACACTCTTTCTCACTTCAGACAATAATAAAAAAAAAAAACAGAAAGACCAAGTTAAAGTTTTTTTATTAATACAAATTTGTTTGAGAGGAAGTGTTGAAATATCAAGTCCTACTACATTGGTTAACTAATAACAAATAAGAGACTATAAAGTAAGGAAATCAAAGGCGATAAATAGTTTTTAGGTATATAAATATTTTAGCATGTGTTTGGATAAATGTTTATAAACCTAAGTTTGAATTAACTTGATTTATGGAATTTTTATTTGAATTCTTTCTTAAAAGTAAGTTTGTAATAAATTTAATATAAAATTAGTAACATATCAAACATATTGACATAATAATCAAAGCACATTTAGAGATATTTAACATAATTATGAAAATGTAAATGTATTACCGAACATGCACTTAGGTTTACTTTGTGTGAGTTTTTCTAAGAGTACTTGTAGAAAAATAAAAGAATAAAATAAATAAATAAAACTTTCATAAATTAGAATTTTTATAAATCTCAAAATTAATTAAAAAATCGTCTAAAATGTAAAATAGTATAAATTAATATTAATTTTTATATTTTCTTATTTTTTTTCTTGCGGCAAGTACTTTTACAAAATTTATCCAATTTGAACCTTATTCGTATTAACGAATCTAGTACACCCGCAAAGACTTCACCTTATTCTAAAAGTATTGGCGAATCTAGTACACTGGCAAAGACTCCAAGTAAAGACAATGACAGGTGAGCTAAATAAAATTTTTTATTGTAATCAAATGCTTTGTAACAAATGGATGGAGAACCTTTAGGATATAAAATAGAGGTGATTATACTCTCATCCCCCTCCAGTACAAACAAGGCAACTATCAGTGGATGCACCATGGTAATAAGAACATATAACGAATCATTTAATAAACCTTAAGCTTAATTGGATTACTTTGAATGATCACATACTTTTGCTGAATTTAGGGAACCATAATGTATCAAAAACCCCAAATTATGCTGCTAGACACAGGAAAATATTATTTTGATGTGAAAAACGACACTTAAAGTATGGGTCATGTGTCAAACTACAATTTAATTTCCCGGGTCTCTAGTGCATCGTGTCATTTTAACATATGGCTTGTGTAATTAAAACGAAGAGGGGCTACGCAGCCAACCATCAACTGCCACCGCTAAATCTAATTATCATCTTCTCAACTTTCTCACCAATCCACTCATTTTGTCAAACTAATGCACCCTTTTTTCTTTTTCAACTGTTTTATCCCTCACCTACTTTGAATCACACATACATATAAGCTAGTTTCCACGCATCTCTTTTAACAAACCAACCATCCAATCTCTTCCCTTTTCCACTTTCTTCCTTTACCTCTATTCCCTTCTTCACCACTCAATTAACCCATCCCAAGCAAAACATAATCATTCGTGCAAGAACTTGAAAAAGATCTCAAATAATGAATCATTATTATATTGCTTATGATTTGGTGATGGTTACTCTATCATTATCTCTCATCGTTCTTGGTGTTGTCCTCTTTCTTGTGTGCAAGAAGAAACCAGTTGAATCAGAAGAAACACTTCCGATGAAGCACTATGCTCGTGCTTACTCGTTGATGGACATTGATGCTGCTACTGATGGGTTCAACCACAGGAGAATTGTGGGAAAGGGTCGTATAGGAACTGTTTATGCGGGTGTGCAAGAGAATGGAGAACTAGTAGCTGTGAAACGGGTTCATCCAGTGCTTGTGTTGAGCAATGCAGGATTTGGGTTCTCATCGGTATTGAAATGGCTTTCTTCAGTTCAACACCCCAACATAGTTCCCATAATAGGATTTTCAGAAGCCCCAGGTGAGAGAATTATAGTGATGGAGTTAGTGAGAATGGTAAGCTTAGACTTTTATTTGCATCAAAACCTCAATGGAGCTTCTCTTTTGGATTGGAACAAGAGGATCAGAATTGCAGCTGGAGCAGCTAGAGGGCTTCAGCACCTGCATGAAGTGGCAACACCAAATATTGTACATGGGTGTGTTAAGTCTTCAAATATTTTGATTGATGTCAACTTGTGTCCTAGGATTTCTGATTACGGTCTCAACTTTTTGGCACCCTTTGAAAAGAAAGGGCTTGTGGGTTATGTAGATGATGAGTATTGGAATGGAAGAGGAAGTGGTGGTGGTGCTAGCAAGGAAAGTGATGTTTATGGGTTAGGGGTGGTCCTTCTGGAGCTAGTAAGTGGTAGAGGATGTGAAGAAGGATTGATTGCAAAGTGGGCATTGCCTTTGATCAAGGAAATGAGATTTAGTGAACTTTTGGATCCTAGATTGGTTATTCCTTCTGATATGAAGCCTCTAGTTAGATTAGCCAAAGTTGCTTTAGCTTGTGTTGGTAATTCAAGGAAGTGTAGGCCTTCTATGGTTCAAGTGGCAACCATTTTGAACAATTTAGAGATGGAAGTGTGCATCTAATCCTATTGGACATGTCAATACTCAATTTGTTTGGAACATTTGTCTTCAATTTTGGACAATGCGGACGGAGACCCGTTACCCAAATGGGAAAATAATTGGTATATATGTATTTTATGTTTTCTTGTAAGCTTTACCAGTTCTACGCTCATTGGATATATGCGGGCTCTTTTACAAGAGATTTTGTATTATGTGCATAACCGAGGGACTTTATACCCAACCAGTGACAGGTCGAGAAATTTCGAAGTCATTTTATAGAACGTTGAAATAGAAAGGTTGGACGGTGCCTTCATCATTTAGGGCAATTTATGTCAATTTATGGTTCCCTTTGGTGAGGGGGTCCTTTTGTTGATGAAAGGGATAGGGACTCTTATTTTTGGTCTCTGTAATGAACTTTTTTATATTTTAATTTGTGTATAGGTCTTTTCTTTTTTAACCTGTGAATATTTTGAACATGTATCACAAGTACTGTATAGGACCCATATTTGGCACTCATAGATGGTGATTATTTGTATACGCAATTCTTGCTAGTTATGTACATGTTCAAATATTTACATATGATTATATTCTATATTTCTAATTAATACTTGCTGCAATTATACACACATATTCTATTTGTATATATGCTTTTATAAGGTAAGTGTCTTTTATTTTTTTTTAAATATTATTAATAGTCTGATTATTTTAGTTACCCCAACTATTTTTTTCTCTCCGTTATTTTCTCTCACAGCCACGCACGAGAATTTCCCTCGTAGAAGACCTTTTGATCTTCATACACCATTTCCATAATTATGCCGAAAAACTATGTTACAAGTATGAAGCCAATCAATATATAGTCTACCCCAACAGACTTGTCCAAAACTATTGTGTAAATTAACTTCAATTTACCCAACAGTAGTTTATTGGAAACTTTCTTTTCTCTTTTTCCTTTCAGCAATTTCTTTCACAAATTTGAATTGAATTGTCATCAAATTTTAATTTTGATTCCTATATTTCTTTTTTGTTTTCGTTTGTATATTTTAAAAGATTTTTAATTTTATTCCTAATCACAGTTAAATAATGACATAACTAATTTATATATTGGAAAATATAATTTGTGTCACATATCACTCTTATATAATGTTAATTTTATGAAGATGAAATTAATTTTTAAAATATTATTATTAATAAATAAAATAATGTTTTAGACCTTAAGGAAGGTTTTAGTGGCCTTATCGAAAGGCCATGCAGCTCTAGTGTGTACGTATAAAATAATTGATTATAAATGAAGTTTATGGTTTTGTTTTGGGTACATGAAGTCTAAGGTATTTACAAATTGGAAAAGAGATTAAAAAAGAAAAGTAGTATGTTCTATACTCTGAACTAACAACTAAATTTAATGCATAGACTAACGTGCAAAGGGACCACCACCGCTTCCGACACTTATATGGCATTCATATGGATTTTTACTTTTCGCCATTCAAACTCAAATATGACTCCTTTTATTGCTCTTCTCTTTAGACTCTCTTTCTCTAATAAAAACACCCAAATTCACCCCTCACCACCACCTTGAGTAATTAGTGTAATATAAAAAGAACGACATGTATAAATAGATTTATAATTAAAAAATTTACCTTGTTTTAGTCTTTTAAAAATTTATGGTATTAAGTTCTTCAAACATTGGAAAATGTAAAAAACAAAAAAAAACTATTTTCAATTATAACTTAATAAATAATTTATTTAATATTATTTAAGAGACTTATTTTGTATCATAATTTTTTTCATTATATAAATTAATATTTAATGAGTTTTAAATATTAAATTAATATATTTTATTTTTTAGGTACGTTAAAATAATTTGTTTATTAAAATATAATTTAAAATAAATAAAATATTTTGTAATATTATTATTATATGTTAAATTGTTATTAGTATAAAATTAAATATTAATCAATTTATTGTTCCGTACAAGTACGAAACCTAATTTGATCAAAGCTTGAACTAAAGAAATAAAATATAATCAGCATTTCTTCTGGTTACTTTGTTTTTATGGTAATAGTGACATACCAAACTACCTTGATTTGTGAGGGCCTAACTCGTGAGGTGAGGCCCAATATCTTGAATGAACTTAGTACATTCCCTGAACAGATCAGAAACATTGATAAAATAATATAATAGGTTAAATATATTATTTAAATATAAATAAATATTAAATTTTAAATAATATACATATAAATTTTAAATAATGTGAATTTTTAGAAACATTATCCTAAAAAATATTTAATCCAACGGTTTAATGGTTAAATCTCATATTTTATTAAAATAAATATTTAAATTTAATATCTAATATTCACAAAATATCTTTATATATCAATCTTTGTATATATGATATTGATTCATTTGTTCGTTTAACCTAAATGCTACACAAGTATGCTAAGAGTGATTTTTTAAATATGATATTGATTCGTTTGTTTTAAAAATTTTAAGAATAGTTTAAGAAAATTATAAAATTTTTTATATGCAAGTAAATGAATCAGTCCAGAAATTTGAAAATCAACTTATTTAACCTACAAATTTCATAAATTAAATTATACAAATCTCCTGTCAAAAAAATTATAAAACCTTACAGTTAAATGAATTATATCCTTTTTGTAATTATAGAATTTTATTGCATGATTTGAGCACAAATGGCACTCAGAGAGTACAAACTATATTCTCGCTAGCCATGTGCTATCTACATCATTATACATACAGGGGCCCATGAAACACCTCTAAATACAAAGTTAGAAATTCATTAAAAAAATGTTACATCTTTCTATAATTTTTAATGATTTTTATTATTTTTAAAGTAAGTATTTAGGAAAACTAAAATAGATATTAAATTAGAATATTTATTTACTATTAAGTTAAAAATATAAAATATTTTTTATTTAGTAATTAAAAGAATTTATAAGAATACAAATAATCAGATTTAGAATTATTGATTGATAAATAAATTTCTGGATAGCTTTTTGAACCAAAGTCTTGTATTCCCACTCAATAATTACTTTCTCGTTGTCTTTTGGATTTTGGTTCCTTATGCAAATGACTACATGGTCCAATTGATTTTCCTCTTTGAAAATGACACTCAATGAAAGCGAATTTGTTGTTGACATATACGCTAAAGAGAAACACTTCTCCGGTATCTTCTACAAGAAAGTCTGTTTTCTTAATTTATATAAATCAATAAAAAATAATTTTAAATTATAGAATTATAACGTATCTTAAAAATATTATTAATATAACATTTCAAAAATTATTTATTATAATTAAATAACAATAATAATTTTTTCTTATAAAATATTATTTTAACAATAAATTTATCATTTTTATAAATCAAAGAGATAAAAAAAATAGAATAAAAAATAATTTGATGAGTAGTATGATGAAAAAAAAAATATTAGTATAAAAGTCTTAGAAATAATAATTATTATCTATTTCATATTAATATTAGATTATCTAAATGAAATAATGAATATGATTAGTTAGAATTCTTAGTTTTATGAGAAAAGGCTGTTGTCTAGGATAAATGGGGCTAAAAGTCCTTTCATCTCAAATTTGGGGACAAACACACCTTTTATAGGTAGGAATAAAAATTGACTAAGTCAGATTTTACGCAAATAAGTTTGATTCGTTAATAATTATGAAATTTTGAATCTTACTTATTATTTATTATAGAATTTTTATTAAATTTATTTTAATATTTTTAAAATTTTAATTTGATTAATTAATATTTTAATGACTTATTTTATGTTAAAACTTTAAATAAGTTATAATTTTTTTTAAATTAACTATCTCACTATCTAAATAAGTATGATTTATAAAAACTATAAGATTTATATATAACTAAATTATAAAAAAATAATTTAGTATATTAAATATTTATAATAAAATTACATATTTTTATTTATCACTTTCAAATTATATATTTAATTTAAATAAATAAAATACAAAATATTTAACAAATACAAATACATATTAACATTATACGATAAATCAAACTATAATATTGTAAAAAATTTCAACAAACAAGTGAGACTCCCTTTCTTACTAGTAAATAGTAGATAAGCTTTCTAACTCTAATTAAAAGAAGTAGAATTTTTAATTTAAAATTTTATTTATTTTAAAATTTAGTTTATTTAATTTATTATTATAAATTTTATTAATTTAAAATATATTATTTTGTTAGGCTTAAATTTTTTTTTTAAACTTAAGTATGACATATTTAATTAATTAAATTTTTTTGAAATTTAAATTAAGCTTATTATTTAAATAAATTAAATCAAATTAAGTTTTAAAAAACTTAATTTATAAGTTTTTATCAACTTTTATCTCGGTGAGTTCTCTATACTATATATATATATATATATATATTAGGATGTATTAAATGCTACAGGTTATTTTTAACCTATATATATATATATATATTAATTGTAATATTTGAAAATATTTTAGTTTAATATATTTAATTTATGTTATTATATTTTTATATAAATTATTTTTATGTATTTATACAAAATTGATTTAATATATTAAAGGCATGTTTTTATATTATTTTCTATTTCATCTTTATTTTATTCAAAGCTTTTAAATTTTTTATAACATATTTAAGTATCCCACGAAAATCTTGAAAATGGGGACGGGAAACAAAATATTCAATAAAAAAAATAATGAGATTGGGTTAGGAATGCGGATACGTGAGGTAAGAAAGTTGCCCGCGGATGTCATCCTTCTGTGCAAGATTATATATGAATTATTAGTTATTTTTAATATTTAAGTTTTTTTAACACATGTTAAAGAGTATGTGAAAAAAAGTAAAAATTAATATTTTATTAAAAATTATAATATCAATATTAGTATTATATTAAATTTCTTAATATCTTATTTTTATAATATAAATTTATTATATATTATTATGTGTCGTTAAATAGATTAAAAATTATTAATTTTAAATAAATTTTAGCCATTATTTTAAAATATTATTTAATAATTTAAAAATAAACAAATTATGTGAAAATATTTAAAAAAAATTATAATTTTTAATATAATTTAATATCATTTTCAATTTTAATTTCTTATTCGGCACACTTAATAGATGGATTAATAAGACATTAACTTTTAATTAAAAGATTTTATTAAATAATTAGTTAAATAAATTGTCATAAAAAAGACTAAAAGCGACTGATCATGCTGTAGAAACAAAAAGTGGTGTATGAAAGTGTGCTTGCAAGGTGCATTGGCTAAAAGAGAAAATAATGGGAAAGCATGCTCTCAATAGACTGCACTATCACCATTTCATGTAAGAAGTACTATTTAAGTAAAAAAGTGTTTCTATCTGAATGGACATGCAGTTGACTTAGACATTTAAAACATTTATGTAACCTTTCTCTCGTCGTTCTTCAAAGCTATTCCAAAGCTCTCCAAGCCAAAGACGCTTTTGAGTTCTCACTTACCTAAGCCTCTCCTTCAACTTAGTTTGTCACTGCTGCACTCATGTTCTTCACCCTTTGAATTTTGCTCCGCTTCTCATCAATAGCTCTTCTGCAATTAAGTGACAATTTTCTTCTTTTTAAGTTTACTAATACTTCCATGACAACGAGACTCGATTTTGATTACTTACTTTCAGTTCAGATTTTTTTCAATTGATCTCGTCGGATTTGAGTTTTGAGTTCATATTAACAATACTTTTTAAATATTTAAATAAAAATAATTAATTTAAGCATACAATTCAAGCTTTATTTTTATAATCGTTACTTAAAAAAAAATACTGAGTGATTTAAAATATATTATTTGTTAAATAAAATTTTAAAAGATTCCAATTTAACTTATTTAATTTGTTACATTTTTAAATTATTTATTGTACTTCATAATTAATTTTTTCTTCCTTTACTAATAAAAAGAAAGCTAATAGACTTATTATGATCTGAGGTCATAAGACTCTCCCAAATGACTTAATTAGTCTATTTTTATCCCTGTCCTCTAGTTATCCTTTTACACAAAATTTTGATTTGTATATAAAAGAATCTCCCTTAAATGTTATTAATGAAATTCACTCAGTAAAGTTTAAAATTTAAACCCAAACCTATATTTAAGCATACAATTCAAGCTTAATTCTATTGTTTCTCATGGAGCTAACTCAAAATTTCATATGTACGAATTTTACTTATAGTATCATAGATAAAGAAAATGCAATACAGAGCATGTAGGTTTATAATCTTTGGCAGTAGACTGTACTGGGGAATGTATACATATAAATTTATCTTATGAATCCAATTCCAACGCGTTAAACATGAAGAAACAACTTCAAAATAATGCTATTAACATATTATTTAACATTTTTAAAATATATTCTTCATTATTAATTAAAATTATTAAGAATTATAAAATGATATAGATTTTACTCTTAATTTAATAAGTCATGCTTGCAAATTTAAAATTTTTAATAAATTTTAACTAATAATCAAAAGTATTAGAAAAATTACATTGAACTGTATTGTTGGCAATCATCCTTGTCTGGGTGTTCATGGATTGGATTTTCAAAAAATCAATCTAAATCCATTTAAAATCCAATTATATAGATTGGATTATAAACCAATCCATTTTAATTTTTCTAAAATCGGTTTAAATTTGGTTTTAAAATTTGGATTTGGTTTAAAACCGGTTTTAAACTGTTTTTATATATGGTAAAAATATACCGTAATTATTTTTTAATTATTATTAAATTATTATATTAAAATATTTAAATAAATAATATAACATTATATATATATATATATATATATATATATATATTTGTTAAGTATCAACATTTATCAAAGATAAAATATGAATATAAATAGTACTCTAATCCATTACATTAACAATACATGTTAAAGAGAGTATTTGTACATATTTTAATTTTTTAATAATATTTTTTAATTTTATATTTTATTAAAATAATAAATATTTAGATATATTGTACTTTATATCATCTATCCATCATCACACAAATTAATTATATGAGTTAAATTTTAAACTATTTTATTTTATTTTTTTATCGGTTCAAAATAGTTTTGAAATTTAAATTTAGTTTAAAATTGGTTTTAAATTTAGTTTTTGTTGAAACTAGTTTTAAATTTGATTTTACGTTGAATTAGTTTTAAATCTAATTTTAAATTTAATTTTTAACGCAAAATTGATTTTCAATATATTTGTGAATTATATTTTTAAGGTAAAACTAATTTATTGTACAAATGTTACATTAAAATAGTTCATTTCAAAAAGATTTTAACAATATTTATTAATATATTATATTTTATAGAAGTATATAAAATATTTATTATTATTTTTAACTTATTTTTAATAAATGAAGTTTATAATAAAAATTTAAATTAAAACCTATAAAAAAAATTAATAATATAAATAATAATAAAATTTTTATGTTATAATATTTTAAAAATTGAAAAATAAACATAAATATAAAAATAACAGTAGTAATTAATTTAAAAATATTTTTTATATTTTAATATTTTTAAATATTTTAATTATAAGAATTAAGATTAATAAAAAATAGTAATAGTAAAATATAGTTACAATAAAATTTTGTAAATTAATATAACGCCAAAATTTAGTAAATAAAAATATAAGGTTGCTTCATACATATGGATTTGGATAACTAAAAATAAATCCGATTTTAGAAAATGGATTTAGACACTAAACTGGTTATACAAATATAGTTAATAAAAAAACTAGTTTAATATGGATCTAGATTTTTAAAACCAATTTGACATTGGTTATGGATTGGATTTATGAAATTGAATTTTTTTTACCACCCCTATCCTTGTCTCATTAATATCAATCTTAAATATATTTTTAGTCATTTTATTTTATTTTTATAATTTGGATTTTTATATTTGTTCAGCTTAGATATTTTAGTTTCATTCACAAAGCGTAGTCACAAACAATTATTACGACGATATCTGGACCAGTGACATCATTGTTTAGTGGTTTGTTATTAGAGACCAAAAGTGCTAATTGTAAAAAAAAAAAAGATAAAAATAAAAAATCATAAAAATATAAAGAATAATATATTGAACTCATAAGATTATTAATATTGCTTACAAATTAAAATTGACATTCTATACAAGTGATCACTACTGATTTCAATTACTTGGATCAAAGTAGAAAATTGATTATAAATAAAAATAATACGAACAACAACTATACTATGATATCTGAGCTTTGCCTAATAAATTAATATGCTAATGACTCAAGTAACTCCTTTGATCCACTTAAAAAAAAAAAAAAAACTCATGATCTAAACAAATGCATATATTTAGAGAAAGTAAAAATGTATTGTAGGTTAGCGAAAATCCGCGCGTTTACGCCAGAAGTCACATTAACAAAAGGACACTTAATTTACGTGTAATAGTGTGCCCGTTTCCATGCCATGTCTCGAGTTCGGGTCTGGCACATATCAAGTTTTGATATAAAGTTTCTTCTCTCCTTCTTTCACTCCCTCTTTCCTCTTTCTCCAAACAAACAATCCCTATCTACAGAAACTGTAAGACAAGTGGACATCGCGACAAGCTCAAAGTGATCATGCCCTTGAGTAGTGTATATATATCTGGAAAAACAACATCGTCAAAAAGCCCTAAAACCCTAACTCAAACGTTAAAGTTATTAAAATTACTAACAGGAACAAAACAAGCTGGAGCTTAGTGCCTAAGTTTTGCATTGCGTGGCTTCTTTGAGAAGCTCACAAAGACGTGTCGGCTGGTATATAGAAAAAATTCACAATTCTTAATTAAGGGTTATGCTAGTCTGTGTATGTCTTTTCTCCGTATGCGTTACTTCAATATTCCTTTTTTTTTCAAGTTACTTCAATATTCTAAACCATTAGCATCATTGCCCATTATTATAAATTTCAAAGTGAACGGACATAAACGCCACACCAATGCGTGGCAGCAGTGAAAATGTTCAACAACTTTAGCAGCAATTGTCATACCCCAGATTAGAATCACTTGTAATTTTATAGATAATACAATGCTTGCTGATTGTGACATTCAAGCACCGATCAACCAAAACACGTTGAAAAAGCATAAAGATTCAGCAATATTTGAAATTTTGAACAATATTATAGAGAACCTTTTAATATGAAATTTGGATACATTTTCGTTGAATTAACCTAGCACAATTATACTTGGAAGGAGTACGTGTAGAGCGTGCATGTGCGCGAGTGTGAAAGGAAACGGAGAGAGAGAGAGATCCGTTACTTGAGATAAGAATTCTACGTGAAGAAAGGGATTGAAAGGGTATATACAGTGCTTTTGTTGGTTGGTGCAAAGATGTATGCATTGATCATAAACGTATTCTTTATGTTACATTCTTTGTCGGTTCGTATGTACATGTCTGATGTCCCTGAATTTTTATATGGCTTTAAGGACACTCTAATTTGACACTGCAGCTGAATTCCTAACACGCACACATACTCTCTAAAAAGGTAAAACGTCCTAAGAAGAATCAGGTTGCCCCATCTCCACTCTTAACCCCCCACCGTTTTCTACTTTTTTTTATATATATTTAAATAACTTATGGTTTTCACCGTTCCAATAATAAGAGTTAATTTTCTTTCCTTAGTCGATCCAATTAATCTTTCATGTTTAACAATGACAACTTTTTAACTTCCTATGCTAATAGTGCAAGCGCATTAATTAGTCCTTAAATACAACCGTATATACGGGGACACAAGCAAACTTGGCGTCCAAGCATCCTTTTCTATATGTAGAACCCACTTTTGAGTCCCACATTTCTTTTATCGGTTATACCCTTTGCTCCCTATCCTCTCTCTCTCTCTCTCTCTCTCTCTCTTTTTGAAGAACTTGGCACAGTGCAAACAGTTTGGAAAAACCAAAAATAATTCAATCATACATATAGAATACATGTAGAAGAAGAAGACGTGGGAGACTGATAGGATTGAGTTCGCTCCATACCAAAAAAACAAGAAGCGATTCAAGAAAAACGTGTTCCAAAAGAGACAAGGCTACTAGCTTTACCTTTTTCTTTTTATTTTTCTTATCTGTTATTCTTTATTGTTTTTTTTCCCTTCTTGGATATATTATTAGGGAGCTGAGATTGTAAGGAGGTGAAAAAAAAAGGATCTGTTTTGGGATATATGGGTATAGGAGAAAGAGATGACATGGTGCAATGACTCAGATGAGGAGAGGGGCATTGAACTGGTCATGCCCACTATTACTCCTAGAACTACTAAGACTCTTGTTACTGACATTAAACCAACCGAAATTCGAACCATAAGTTGCCCCTCATGTGGCCATAACGTTGAATTCCAAGATCAGGTACTGAAAAAATGGTTTTGATATCTTCACAACTTGATTTTTGTATTTTTATTTTTTTTTAATCTTATAAAACCATGCTTAAGCTCAAAAGTTTATTCTATTTTTTATTTGTTGATTTTTTTACGTCTTGGTTGTGTATGTGAATTAATAGGCTGGAATCAATGACTTGCCGGGTTTACCAGCTGGGGTGAGGTTTGATCCGAATGACCAAGAGATATTAGAGCATTTGGAAGCAAAAATTCTGTCTGATGTGCCAAAGCTCCATCCCCTTATTGATGAGTTCATACCAACGCTTGAAGGCGAAAACGGGATCTGTTATACTCACCCAGAAAAGCTTCCAGGTGTTTGATATTTTATTTTATTTGCAATTTGTTCTATTTTCATGTTTTGATGGTTTGGAAATACCGTTTGATGCATAGGTTACTACTTATCCCTACTATTTTAATTTATTGGGAGACATATGATTGATGTGCTGCATGAAACGAGGTTTTAGCTTGCTAAAAGAAATTTAGGCAGCTGAGAACGAATTCCAATTAAGACATTTCTACTCTCGACAGATGAAATAAATATTATATATTATTTGTTTTGAAATTCCATACTTGTTATGGAAAATATTCTAAAACTTAAACAATACATGTGGAAATTAGGAGAGAAAATAAACAAAGACCTGGAATACGATATTTTACCAGTCGAATAAATAATGTCTCTTTTGCTTTGCTTTTTCTTGCATTCATAACGTAGCAACGAAAAATTTTTGTCGTTTAGAGTTATGTGTCACTCTTTGTTCGAAGACATTAACCGAGGGGAGGATTAATCACATCTATTAACCAATTCGTTCAAGTATGTGACAAGGAAACACTTTGTTAAAGTTGTCAATGGCCTCTACCAAACTCAATGGTGGCATCTTATCTTACATTTAGCAATGCAACAAGTAAATGTAAATGTTTGTTCCCAATCTTGAGATGATTTTTCTTTTTTCTTTTTTTAAAGAAAACTAATAATACATTCATTAAAATACTATTTCTAACATTTTTTAATTATTGTCAGATGAATCTTCCATTAATGTAAGATTCACTAAATAGATAATGAGATCCACATTAACTGTTTAGTAGATCTTACGTGAATTAATTAATACCCAGATTATTTAGAATTGATATTACCAATCTCATATACCCTTCACTGATAAGTAAAAAAAAACGTTTCGTTCTTTTCTTTTCCTCACGTCAAAAGAAGACATGTGATTTAAAGGTAACAATATTCTCTCCTGATTCTTAGTGATCTTTTATCCTGGAGTGTCGTTTTTTGATTGTAAAAATAGATAAGTGGACTACGGGAACAAGTGTTTTAGTTCCAATTATTCTATGAGATTTAACTCCCAAACATTAATCACACTTGTAAGTTGTAACTGTTAAGAAAGATCACAAGGAAAAAATAAAAAGGAAACAAAAAACAAACCTAAGCCTCGAGAAGCAATTTAATCTTTCATAACTTTACCAGCAAGCCATTTATGTACTCAGTATAGAGATTAATTGCAATCCGTTTGCATCATATTTCTGGCACTTTCGAGAAAGATTTTCGAACTGAAAAAACCACCTTTTCTTATACATACGTTGATGATTCCCCGTGAGTCCATAACTCTCTCTCTTCATTATGCTCTTCTTATACCTTATCCTCGAATTAGTGACTTTAATCGTAATTTATGGCATTTTACATTCGTGATTATCATCTCTTTTCCCTGTATTTTTTTCATAAGGGTTATAATGTTTTTTACAATAATAATTTATGACATATCACTCTATTTTTCCTCTTCTTATTTCTCTGAATTATAATAAAAATTGTAGAAATATTTTGGATAAATCTTATACATGCAGATCAGAAGATCGAGTTCCTCTGTGTAATGATAAGATACATGAAATAATTCTCTGAGAAAATTGCAGGTGTAAGCAAAGATGGACAGATCCGCCACTTCTTTCACAGGCCTTCTAAAGCTTACACAACCGGAACAAGGAAAAGAAGAAAGGTTCACACTGATGAAGAAGGAAGCGAAACAAGATGGCACAAAACAGGCAAAACAAGACCAGTTTTTGTTGGTGGTGCTGTAAAGGGTTTCAAAAAGATACTGGTCCTCTACACCAACTATGGGAGGCAAAAGAAACCTGAGAAGACTAACTGGGTGATGCATCAATACCATCTTGGCAGCAACGAAGAAGAGAAAGATGGAGAATTAGTGGTTTCGAAGGTCTTCTACCAAACACAACCTCGACAATGTGGTAATTCCATTATAAAGCAGGATCCTTACAATGAAAAAAGATTGACTCACCAAAGTGTCCACGATGACAATATAATATCTAAAAATGTAGCTCTTATGGATTACTACAACACTCCCTTCATAAATTATGACCATGTGGGCGGTCATAATAATGGGGAAAGTTCACCTCAACTTATTCCAAACTTGGTTGTGCAAGGTGATAGCTCTTCTTTCATTCGATTAGCAATGGATGCAAACAAAGCCAGGCTTGACAGGAAATAGCTCCGTGAAGAACTTTCTTTGGTAGAGCATATAGTGACAATGACCATGCGTAGATGCTGATGGTTTTTCATTACTATATAACAGTATTTATTCTATCTATCTATATATATGGGATTATAATGAAGGAAATCGATCAAGGTGGAAGAAATAAGGTTGGCTTCGATTGGGAATATATAGATATAAATATAGATATATGAGGACTTACCCATAGTTGACCCTGGTTGAAGGTTAAAGTTGAGAGGCGAGTATGGTCTGTTCCGGTACTGTGGTTTTATCTTTAAGTTTATTGTACAGGTGAACTGGAAAAATCGTTAGCATGTGATGATTCTCTATGTCAAACTATACTGTTTTGATGTTTTTACGTAGAAACTCTTTCCTTTCCTGCTCTGAATAAATACAAGATGTTTACTATTAGATATTTATTTATCCACCGATGTTTTCAATTTGGTCGTTTTATTCTATAGAAACCTTTATTATAATGGCTGATATTTAAATTTGTCCAGGCATCTATAATAATGGGCATGTGTCTATAAATTTATTGCCCGTTCTTAAAATGTTTTTAAATTTTTTATTTTATTCTTCTAAAATGACTAAATAAAAAACATGTGATATTTAAAAAGACTGAACGAAATAAAAAATAGAAAAAAACTTTTTCATGGGAGATTTATTTTAAAAAAATTAAAATGAGAGACTAAATAAAAAATTAAATTTTTCAGGGACTTTACAAACTTAATTAAGCACACAATATAAAGAAAGAATCTGAATCAAATATACAAATGCTTAGGTTTCTCCTAACTCTTTTAATGAAATAATTATTAATAGCTGTGAATACCCTATTTTGATTAAGTTACTTTAAACAAATAATAAAAATATAATAAATAAAAGACAGATAATATCATATTTCTATTTTAAAGAACTTTTAAGGAAAAAATAAACAAATGATAGTATTTTTCATTTTCATTTTATTTTATATTAAAGATAAATGTACAAAAAAAAGAAAGAAAAAAAAAGATGAAGTAGTTTGTACATAATCATTCATCATTTTGATCCTGAGTTAATGTAAGGATTCTCATGTTTATTTATTGTGTTATGATCATGAAGGCCTTTATATTCTTCACAAACATGCACATTTTTTCATAGCCTAAATTTATATATTTTAAATATTTTTTTTATGCATGTGTATTTTTTTTAACAGCAAGGACAAAATGTATGAAGGAGTATAAGGGATTCTCTAATTTACTTTACAAATTATTATCACCAAGATACAAAAGATATAATATGACACTACAAAATTATTATTTACTTATAAATAAAAGTTATTAATACTGATAACTGTTATTTTGTAAAGTTTTAAGATAATCTTTGTTAATATAATTTTTGCGTATTAAAATTAAATTATTAATAAATATTTTAAAAGTCTATATTAATAAATAAGAATTGTAGTACTAACATATTTGATGTATTAATAGTCCATATTAATATTCTACAATTTATGAAATTATTTATTAATATGATATATTATAACTATTGTGTATATTAATAAATTTGTTCAAAAAATATATACTGAGAGAAGCTAATTTAATATTAAAATATTAATATATTTTTTTGTAGTGAGAATTCATGCACTACACTGGCTAGTTAATACTGCGGTGAAAAAAGAAGCAGCAGAAATGAGTTTCTTATTGTTCTTGAATTACTGCAATTTCCTTTAAATAATTCATATTCTGTTCAAAATGGCGTTTACCATTGAAAATTATATCCAAGTATAAGTAATATTTCAAAGCTACAAACATATACAACTTGATATTTTAATATTTTCTATTGAGCGTAAAAACGTTAATATAAAATATGAACTTATGATCGTATTAAACAAGCCTTATATGTGGGAATACTTCATTGGAAGCTCCGCAAATGTCACAAGAATGTTGCTTCAGAATTGAGAGTCAACGAGAGTCACCTTGGAGGAATTAAGGAAGAGAGTCAACAGAGTCAAGGGAGTGCTTTGGTGAAAACAAATCCTCTTTTTATTGTTAAGAATTCTTCTTTGTGGCCTTAAAAGATTTAAGTGTATATATATTGTTAGTACTATTTCTTTTTATTATTATTGATGATTTAAATTTTCAATTTGTGTGAACGTACGTTACTTATCTAACACACCAAATCTAATTTCACCTCCATAAAATATCCTAACTTAAACTGTTTTAAAACTAAAATTTCTTATATCGACCAAGCCAAATTAATTGTAGTCATGATATATGAGGATAAGTAAAACAAAAAAATAAAAATAATGTAAAGTAAATCAATCCAAAAATATTTATGACGTCAAAATTAAATATAATAACACGTAATGATTTACACATATGAAAATTAAAATGAAAAATTTTAATACAAAAATTAATTATATATTTTAACTTGTTTAAAATAATGTAAACTTTAAAGAATTATTTAACTTATGTAATTGTTTATCATAACATTCTTGTAGTGTAAGTGTTATCTTCTTATTATATTCTGCGAACGTATATTTTGATTGTATATGGATTGAAATATTCGTTGCAATTTCATATTCATTATTTGTGTTATTTAAAAAAAAGTGTGTCATCACTTGAACACGATTACAAGATTTTAATATTTTTTTTTAGTTAATTAAATATGTAGATATACAAATTTTTAAAATATTTCATTATCTCCTAATATACGAATTAAAGCGTTATAGTTTATTCCACGATAAATCTTTTCCTTTCCCCTAACCCTTGTCCTTCTTAAGCTAATGAGAAAAATAATGCTACGGATGCCAAGTGCCCAAGTGTATAAATATTATATATCACATTTGAAAAGCCTAAATGCGTAATATGTGTATTTTAAAATATTCTTTAAATTCTTGAATCAACTTAATTAAAATACATAGAACTCATGTTTAAGATAAATAAAATAATAATTTTTATAAGGTCTTGAAACTATATATTCCGCTTTAAAAGTAAAATTGTAAGAGTTCTAACATCAACCACTTTTAGTAGCAGAACATTATTCAAAAGTTGAACATATAAGCAAGGATTTAACTTAAAGTACTTTCCACTATAATATAAAAATATTTTTTTAACGTATATAGTTAACTATGCATGTTAGGAAATTAATAAAAAATTTATTAAAATTATAATATTTAATATTATTAATGTTTTAAATTTTATAATTTTTAATAAAAAATTATTATATATAAATTTTTATTGTGTGATCTAATGATCTTAAATACACAATAAGAAAACTCATACAAAAATTGAAAGAATTTAATTAAGAACGGATTAGGATAAGTTTATCTTTTACTTTACTCAACCTGAAATTTGTATGGAATTATTTTATTTTTTTTACCCAAACTCAACCTAATCAAAACTTAACTAAATCGGGGTAAAATCAACTCAATTAAATTTATAAACAAAATATATCAAATTTAATATATTATTTATAGTTAAATTCTATAATTAATTAAATTTAAAATTAAAGTACCATTTGATAGTATGAATTTAAAATATATAATATCATGAAGCAAAATATCATATGTTAAATCTTACCAATACATAATTATTTTTAAAGTATAAAATTAAAAAATAAAAATTTTAGAAACAAGTGTAAACAACTCAAGCTTATACTCAAAATACTTTATATAGTTTTAATATTTTAAGATTTTCTCACATTCTTTGAAAGTTTTTGTGTCACATATCTAATTGTTGCTTGAAGTCCTTAATTCATATATAAAAATCTTAATTAATTGCAAGAATTTTTCAAAAAGTAATTTTTGAGATAATATAAAAAAGGCTTAAATATATTATTAATTCTTATAAATATAAGTCGTTTTGTGACAGGTCTTTATAAATATTTTTTTTTAGAATATAATCCTTATAAAGTTAAAAATTTAGAATTTAGTTACTATAATCAACTTCATTCCGTTAAGTGTTGAGCTGGCAGAAAGAAAGCCAACTCAGTACTGTCACATGACATTTCACATTATTTTTAAATAATATTTTATTATTTAAAATAAATATTTTTAAAAAAATCTCTGAACAAGTTTTACAAATTTGCAAAAAGGTTCTTTTTCTTTTTCTTTCTCTTTTTACTCTCTATTGTATATCATTTCCCCTTCCTCCTAACTCTATTCCTATACATTTTCCTTTACCCCAACCCTCCCCCTCTCTTTTACACCACTTCAATTTCATTGCTGCACATTTCTCTCACTATCACCACTCTTTCATCTTCATTTTTGTACCCTCCCTAAATTCTCACCTCTCTCCTAACTTTGTTCCTATGCCCTTCCCTTTAACTTATTTCTTCCCTTTCCCTTTACCCTAACTTTGTTCGTATGTCCTTCCCTTTCACCTTACCCCAAATAACTGTGAGCTGCAAAATAATTTGTAAGTAAAACCAAACTCCACAGCAGCTGTAATAAAAAGGCATAAACAAGTGGTGCAAATGGGGGAGGGGGTGGGGGTCAGAGTGGTGGAGATATGAGAATGGAAAAAGGTGAGGAGGAGGTGGTGTGAGTGAGAGGAATGGAAAGGGACGGGGGTGTGGGTTGGCAGTTAGAGTGGTGCGAATGAGAGAATGTAAAAGGTGGAGGTGGGAGTATGGGTGTGGATGGGAAATAGGAAGGGGGTGGGGGAGGAAGCACACATTTTGCTGTAGGATATTAAGGTAAACAATAGAAGAGTTAAAGTGTATAAAGGGCATGAGACTTTTGAATATACTGAGTGTAAAATATAAAGGTGGGGCATACAGTGAAGATAATCAAGGATGAATTCTTACCTGTAGACCTCCTACTTCTTTAATCCAATTATGACGATGCAATATGCTATGTTGAAACCATGAATTTGGCACAAAGTACAGGTTTATCTACTTGTTTTGTATTTTGTTTCTAATAGCATTTGTGGGATCTATTGTCTTTGGTATTATAACTAAAGATGACTTAGACAATAGGTGAGGAAGATACAAGAAATGTCTCATATGAAGCTAACCTCTCACTACATAATTTTTCCTTACTATACCAATAGTAGCATATTCGGTTAGAATTATTCCAATGTGCATCCAATAATCATCATTTTGAGATTATTCTTGCAAGTTAAAGATCTAACTACAGATAAAGCCAACCTAGAAAGAAGAATGGTTAATGAAATATGAGTAATGAGTATTAAATGATTTATGGATAAAAGGGTGTAACAAGGGAGTTGGGATGACTTAATGGAATGGAGATGAAGATAGAACTTTTTACAAATTTGTAAAACTTATTCAAGGACTTTTTTAAAATATTTATTTTAAATAATAAAATATTATTTAAAAATTAACGTGGCATGTCATGCAAAAAGCCAACTTAGTATTTAATGGAATAGAATTGACGACAGAGACTAAATCTTAAATTTTTAACTTTACAGAGATTATATCCTATCAAAAATATTTATAGGAACTTACACAAAATGACATATATTTATCAGGACCAATAACATATTTAAGTCTAAAAAATAATTTTTCAAATATATAAGTGTTATGCCTACTAAATGACATATGTTAAGAAATTAATGAGTAATAAAAATTTATTAAAATTATATATATCTAATATTATCAATGTATTAAATTTTATGATATTTTATAATTTTTAATAAAAAATGTTACGTGTTAATTCTTATTATGTGCTTTTACATACACATGAGAAAAACTAATACAAAAATTATACATAAAAAATTAGTTTTCTCTATGATTGCAAGCTTTATTTTTTTAGCTTAAATAAATTACTAATCTCTAAAAATATCATACTTTTTTTTAATTCTTATAAAACTGAATAAATTTTTTATAGAGAATAAAATTAAAAGGCATGATTTTTAAGAATTAGTAACTTATTTAATTTTTTTAGTTTAATATTGCTATTATCTAGATCAATGGTAAACACTAAATTGAATTATGTAAACGTTAAAATATAATATTAATTTAATTCAAAGATTGAAACGTCATGTTAATTTCAGATAAAGATTAAATCATTAGACTTATGTTAAGACGTACTATGCACAAACATAATGAACCAAAATGATAATAATGAAAATTTAAAGTTAATTCTTCATAAAAATAAAAATATACAAAAATTAATTCATAATTAAGTGTCAAATATAAATAATGAATTATTAATTTAACCAATATACAGTATTTTGTCATGAATCAGATATATTGACTGATCATATAGTACTAAATTGGTCAATTAACATACCACATGGCCAGTTTTGTTTAGTTAATGAAAGAATTAGCATGTTTTGTAAAAATAGACTATTCAATGATGTTTATATATATATAAATTAAATATATATTTAACTAACTTGATTTTTATTTATACAACTAACCAATTAAAATACACGGTAAATATAAATTTTATATTAAAATGAAAATAATAAAAATACTATTATCTTTTTAGAATATTTCAATTAAATTTTATTCGAAGATTTTTGAAGAGATGCCATTGAGTGTTTACTACTGTGGTTATTTGAATTATTTTAAACTTTGGTATAAGCGAGAGGGAAAGGCAGGGATTCAAAAAATTGAAGGCAGTGTGGAAGTCCAATTCGGCAATCGCAACGACTCTGAGTTGGAAATGGAAGAAGAAGCTCCCACACTGAGACTCGTAATGCTGCAAGGTCCTCGAGAAGGAGAAACCCTAGACTTCCCACCAGGAACTTCCATCCGAATCGGCCGAGTCGTCCGAGGCAACTCGTTCGCCATAAAGGACCCTGGCATTTCCTCCAAACACTTCTCCATAGTAAACGAATCTAACAAATGGCTCCTCCAAGACCTCGACTCCTCAAACGGCACCGTTTTCGAGGGTTCCAAAATCCCTCCCCACACCCCCTTCCCTCTCCACCACGACTCCACCATCAAGATCGGAGAACTCACCTCCATCCACGTCATCTTCCTCCCCTCCCAACAGCAACACACCACGGCCACTCACGTGCGACGAAACCCCACTCGTGGCGCTCGAACCGGTGAACCCGTTCAGCCGGTCGCCAAACGTGGTCGTCCTGCAGGCAAGGGTTCCAAGGCCAGGGTTCAGATTCAGACCATCGACAAAAATGCAAGCGTTGCAAACGAATCTAGCTACGCGGCTCCACCCGCGCGTGTCACTCGGAATTCCAGGAAAAAACCGGTTTCTGATTCGAGTGTTTTGAATTTGGAGGAAGAAGCCAAGAGTACTCTGAACCCTACTTTGATTGAAATATCTGATTTGGACGCTCCGGTTGAAGAGCCGAAGAATTCGAAGGAAGCGATTGGGGATAGTACTGAGAATTCGAGGATAGAGTGTGGAGTGAAGAATTTTGAGAAGAAGGAAACAAGGGATGATAGTGAAATCAAAGAGAGAGAAAAGGAGAATTTGAATGGAAATTGGCCTGATTTGAAGAAGATGAGTCTGGGTGAGTGGTTTGATTTCTTGGAAGTTCACTTCCCGAAGCAGATAATGGATGCAACTGAAGAGATGATTGAATCCATGAACCAAAAAGCTCAGAGACTCCGCGACTATATCATTTTGACGCAGCAGCAGAATGACAAGGTTAAATTGGCTGTGAAGGAATAGGCAACATTTTTATTATCTTTGCATCTCATGTTCCGATGTTGGTTGATTTTGCCAGTTTGGTTCTCTTGTTGTGTTAGTAAGTAGACTAACATAGAACATGGTCTTGATTAATTTAGTTCCTACTGAAGGTTGTATCAGTGTATTGTATGCAATAGTATGGCAGCGAATCATCTATTACTGTGAAAGCTGGTTATTTTTTTTTATTTTCTGTTCTTAGATGAGTTTGAGGTCTTCGACTGCATAATCTGCATTGGGCTGAAGGTTTTTACATATGTAAATAGCTTTTCTTGACATATCTTCTCTTCAAAAGATTATAAGGTTAAAATTTTGAAATGCTTGAGATCCCTACGTTCGTTATGTGAACAAAACTTAGGTGCAGGATCTTAGATATTTTGGTGTTAATAATCAAAATTGGGATTTCACCTTGATAATCCGTGTAATTACTGTTGGTTACCGCGGTGGAACACAATTTTTATAGGTGATAAGTATCGAAAGGAATTTTAGTATTGCGTCTAAGTTTTGTACATCATGTATACTATGCTGTGAGTATGGTGCACATCACATTTGTGTCTCGGAGGTTGAATAGACATGCTTGAGTACTATATTCATATTAATAGGGACAATTGCATGAACTTTAACTCTTGCCCCCTGTTCTAGTCTGTCTTTACATAATGGGGATGCAAGTAAAGTATTCATTGACGCCCTCAAACTTCACATATTAATTTCCATATACCTTTGATGAGCTGTACAATGTTTGCTGATGGGAAATGAATTATTTTGCTTCCAGCAGACTAAACAGGGCGTATGTTGATATAAAATAGTTGAGTTTGGGTTTTAAATATCATTTAACTGTTGACAGTGCAATTAAATTGATATTAAGATTTGTATTGTTGCACATACATATTTCTTTTGAATTATTTTGATATAATCTTATTAAAGGCCAACACCTTTTAAACTGCATATTTTCATATTTTTAGATATCTCTATCGTATCTTAAATTATTTCTCTTGTCTGGTGTATCTGATTTGTGATGTGGTAAAGGGGTTTTCATATCTCATAAGAATTTTAACATATAACCTGTTTCTCAAGTTAAAATAGCTTGGAAGTGGTAACTCCACCAGTTGCGTTTAAGCTTGTCTGATCAGTTAAGTACTGTAACTGTAAGTGAAGAACAGTGGGACTGTAGAATCTTAAGAAAGGAAAAAGCATTCCTCTTCTGTTATCTGTCATCTATTCTTTCATTTCAATTTGATTGATCGAAATTACGATTTTCTGATGAAGTTCTGGGTACTAAATTAGTTAATTTATGATCCATTTTAGTTTCTTAAGCTCTGAGGTATTTGTTTTTGAGCACCGGTGGTAGTAATGTTAAATTACATAACTGAATTATGAATATTACCTTTTCGAGTTTTTTTTTTTTTTAATTGCTTTGGTAAATTAGATCTGTTTGATATAGTTTAGAGGTTGCCTCGCCTGCATAATTCGTTGTGATTTTTCTTCTCTTAGGAAACCTTCCATGTAAAATAAAAATGGGGTTAAGCATATCTGTTCAGTTTATCCTGAACCTGTTAGTGGAGTGGCAGAAAGCTCCTCAGTCCTCACCCCACTCCCTGTGTTGCGAAATTTATGTAAATTCATAAACGTGTATTCGGATTAGATTTAAGGGAAAAATAGAAACTTTAGGTATGACAGCTTTTTTCCCATGACGTCAAAATTTTGGGTCCTATAATAGGTTGAACAAAGTTTGTGATGTCCTAACTTTACCCAAAATTTTATAGAACATTAATCAACATAAAATTTTTGCAAAGCTAACATTTAATCTAAACTCGATACACTTTATAGTATCTGGAAAATCAATCCTTTTAAATAAATTAATTAATTAAAGAGTGTTGTTTTACATGATGACTCAAATGCATTTAACCTTCAAAAAGTAGTGCAATTTAAGACAATAATAAGAATATATAAACACATTTTTAGCCCCGTATCAAATCTGGGGTTAAACTTTGTGAATAATCACCAACTCTCTAAAGAGTGAAAATTCTAGAAACGTTATAATTCCAACTACTAAAGGAAGCCAACCCATACGTAAAGCTTGAGGACCTTGTTTCCTGAGCCCAGTTGACAGATTGTCAAATTCATGTTCTTGAATATCCATAAAGCGTAATCCCACGATAGCTGCAACGACAATAAATATTAAACACAACAAATAAAGAGTAATCATAAAGGCAACAATTCCACCAAAATTCATGACATAAGTTGTCTTATGACCTCTATTTATATACACCAAAATTCAACGCCAGGATATGTTTACTTCTATTCCAAAAGACAAGCTATAGAACTTTCTTAATTTCTTTATCCTATTTTTGTTTCTAAATATCATCAACTTTAACTTTTTAATCCTTGCATTACTAATATCTATGTCTATGATCATAAATTCTTTGTCCCACCGATATTAGCAACCTAAAAGGTTGCAAAACTCATCAAATCAGTAGAAGTTTTATTATATATAACCCGTGTTTCTGGAACCATGATACGGTTTGTTTAATTGAAACGGTGCCACCTGCACCTAGTACATATTGGCTCAACAATCCGACAAGTTTAGGTCTATTGAATACTTTTGAACAATTAAAGTAAAATAATTTTATTGTAATTGTTAATTTAGGAGAATGCTTATAAAAAGGAAAATAAGATATAAAGATTATTATTTATAATATTAATTTATTTTTTTAAAATAGTTTATAATTAATTGTTATTTCTCTAATATGTAGACCTAATTGTAAGCATTTAAAAATATAGAATTCAGACTTTTGCATGGATTATCAATTTATATTGAATAAATTATCAACTTAGTTTTTAAAACTATATGAATTGCGCATTTTAATATTTGAAATTTTAAAAGCTTTCGTGAGTCTTTAACGTTTTAATTAATCATTCATTTCAGTTTATTTAATTGTTTTAATTTTTTAAAATAAATAAATAAATGTTATTTTGCAAATACTAATAAATAATTTTAGAAATTTTTGAAACAAAAATTCACTGCTCATAATAGGAGCCAGACCATAACAGTTTTAATATTTCTAAATTTGTAGTTTATTTAGAAGCTTTTAAGTTATTTATTTGGTTAATAAGATTTTAGAACTATTTAATGACTATAAAATAAAAAAAATTATAACTTATGAAAGTTAGATTTTTAAAAATTATTTAAAAAATATTTTAAATCTTAAAATTAACTATCAATATTTTTATTCTTTATTCTTCTTGAAAAAGATAATTATAAACTTCATATACATATGTTAATCTTATTATCCTTTTTTTTTGTTCTTTTCACTTTTACAATAGTCCCATTTTTTTTTTATATTTTTCATCTTCCTGTACTTTTTTATCTAAATATATTTTGTATTAAAAATATGACTTAGAATATTTCATATTTAAATATATACAAAGAAAAATTTTATTTTTATCTAATTATTTATTTAATTGATTGATAATTGATAATTAATAAATAAAATAAGTAATAATATTTTTAATTTTATATTAATATAATATCACATGTATTTTTAAGTTACTTAACACAAATCAGAATTAATTATACAGTTAGATTACTAAAGAATTTTAATTTTATAAACTTAACTTTCAACTAATTTTATGATTAACTACTTTTAACTCGTTTTACTAAGTATAATATATAATATCTGTCTTCTTCGCATTTGTACTTTTTACAGTTTTTTTTTGTTTGTTTGGATTTTTTACGGTAGAGCCACCCTTCTAATAGAAAAAATTTTCTATTATGAAATATTATAATATTTCATAACTATTAAATGTAAATTTAATAGTAGAGATTTCCGCCGCAGAAGTTGGATTGGTAGGGAGATCCAAGTCCTGTGTAGGGAATAAAGATGAGAATGAGACAAAAGGAGTTGAATGCTGAGTTGAACGCTGGATTTCGGATACTATTTGTCAAACTTTTCCTTCGCAAGTTGGCCGATCTGATAATATTTAACCAAAGAAATGTTATTTTAATACATACACAAAATGAATGTCTACACTAGATATTTAGAGGGTATTTATTTTCCTTTTTTAAAATATTTCTTTTTAAAAACAGTTTTCTATTTTTAAAAATAAAATTCAATACAAATTATTTTATATGAAATGTTATTTACAGTATTTTATACATAAAATAATTTTTTTAAATATTTCAACGCAAAAATAAAATAAAATTAGGTGGACACCTAAAATGTGTGTTAAAATAGCATTGCCCCACAATATAACAACACAGTCTCGGTTCCATTTTGTCATTACTTGGAACAACGTTTCAAAGTTGAAAGGCGGATGCAGAATAGTCTGTGTGTTTTAACAAGATATCTTCTAAAAAAATTTAATATTTTTTATAAAGTAATTTATTATTATTTTTAAATAAATAAAATTAGTAAACATTTTAAATTAAATTAATAGAAATAAATATTAATAATAAAGATAAATTTAATAGTATCAAATGAGAGCAATACTGTTTTATTGTAATATTTTAAAAAATTAATTAATTTTATCTATTTTTATTAATTTATATAATTTAATTAAAATATTTTGTAAAAAAATAAATGAGTATTTTATTACAAGAAATTTCAGAAAAAAATGAAATAAATAATTATTATAGGTGTTTTTAATATTATTTTTAATTAAAATTAAAATTTTATTTCAATAATCTATATAATAGAGGAGAATCATGAACTTGAAGGAAAACATACACTGTATGTTAAGGAGATGGAACCCTATCAGGAGAATCTTCCTCTGAATATCTATCATGTCCAAAAGTTGTTAGTTATCATGAACAGGTTACACATGCTCCTTCATTCCACTGCTTTAGGCTTCTTATTTTATTACAGGGTGTGCTTTTTCTTCCAAGACCCAGAAAGCACAAGAAGCCACTTGTTACCATGGTTGCTTGTTTTTGCTTCAGAAATCATTCTCTCCTTCATTTGGGTCCTTGGCCAAGCTTATCATTGGCGTCCTGTTTCACGTTCTGTCTTCACAGAAAGATTGCCTGAGGATGAAAAGCTTCCTGCTATTGATGTTTTCATATGCACTACAGATCCTATTGAAGAGCCAACTTTGGATGTAATGCACACTATTTTATCAGCCATGGCTTTGGATTATCCTCCAGAGAAGCTGCATGTGTATCTTTCTGATGATGGGGGTTCCCCCATGACCCTGCATGGTGTGAGGGAGGCTTGGAAATTTGCTAGGTGGTGGATCCCTTTTTGCAGAAGGTACAGAATAAAGAACAGGTGCCCCAAGGCTTACTTTTCTGATTTGGAGAATGATGATGGTGATTTTGTAAGCAGTAATGTGTACATGGAAGAGAGGCAAAAGATCAAGGTTGACTATGATGGAACTTGGTTTCTTTTGAATTTTTTGGGTTAAAGAACTTATAGTAGCATCACAATTTGCAGGAAAAGTATGAGGCTTTTAAAGAAGAGATAAAGACATTCAGAAAAGATAGAGCCTTTTCCAAAGATAGTCCTGGCAACACTGCTCGAGATCACCCATGCATCATTGAGGTACAATAGCATTTGGTTATTCACTAGTTAAGTTTTTGCACCTTACATTTTTCATTTTGGCTTGAATTTGACTAATTGACTAGCCAAACAAAATCCATGGTTATAGACCATTTTCATTCCTCTAACTCATCCTATGTTTCTCCAATATGTTTGATGGAGAATGATTAAACATGACAGGCAGAGTCTTCTTTGAGTTACTAGTGTTCTCAATAAATCAGTTATTTGACAATAAAATCAGTCAATATTCAATACTAATGTGGTTTTTCAACTTAGGCGCTAATTCACTGCCCTGACATACAATTTCCTTTAGGCAATATGTTTAAGTAATCTGATTTTGGCAGGTGATGCAAGAAAGTATCATTGATGGTGTAGATAATGTCAAAATGCCTCACCTTGTTTATGTTTCTCGTGAGAAAAGGCCTTCTCATCCCCACCATTTCAAGGCTGGAGCACTCAATGTCCTTGTATGCCATACTTTTCTTTTATCTGCCAAAGTGTAAATACAGAACTTGCTTTACCAACACATGTAATGTTTCCCATCTTACTAATAACTTGCAGCTTCGCATCTCTGCTGTGACGAGCAATTCTCCCTACATCCTAATTCTTGATTGTGACATGTTCTGTAATGATCCAACTTCAGCTCGATATGCTATGTGTTTTCACCTTGATCCAAAGATATCATCCTCCTTGGCTTTTGTTCAATTTCCTCAGAGATTTCACAACATTAGCAAGAATGACATCTATGATAGTCAGCTGAGATCATTATTTACCGTAAGGACTACAAAACATACCTTTAGAATTCATCCATGTTCTCCAATGAGTAAGATGGTGCAATGTTTGCTGGGTTTAACTAAATTTTTTGGACATCTTCAGCTACAATGGTATGGACGGGCTTAAGGGACCAGTGATGTCAGGTACAGGCTTTTATATTAAAAGGGTAGCACTGTATGGAAATTGCTCAAGTAAAGGTATGGAACACCATTATTTATCTAGTTGCTTTTGAAGGACAAGATTTCAATGACATTGACGTTTGAACTGTGACCTTATGTTGAGACTCAGATTACCATATTCCTTACTTTTTTTTATTTTTTGGATGTTAGGAACTGATATGCTGCAACTTAAAGAAAACTTTGGTTCATCTAATGAATTCATTAGATCACATACTCAAAACTACACAAGTGATTTAGTCTCTGTTCACAATGCATTACTAGAAGAACCTAATTTGTTGGCTTCATGTGAGTATGAAATTGACACTAAATGGGGAAAAGAGGTAAGTAGACTTTATACTTGATTAGTTCAGTTATTGCATCAAAATTCATGTAAACAAAAGTATGTGTATATTTTTTGAATGACTGCAGGTTGGTTTCCTATATGATAGTGTAGTAGAAGACTACCTCACTGGATTTATCTTGCATTGTAATGGATGGACTTCAGTTTTCTGTGAACCTTCTAGGCCACAGTTTCTAGGTACAGCTACGACAAACTTAAATGATGTACTAATCCAAGGCACTAGGTGGTACGGTGGTTTGTTCGAAAATGGTATAAATAGGTTTTGTCCCCTTATATATGGACCTTCAAGGATGCCACTTCTCCAGAGTCTATGTTTTGCATGGCTCACATATTTCCCTCTTTATAGCTTGCCTCTTTGGTGTCTGGCTACCATCCCTCAGCTCTGTCTACTAAATGGAATACCCTTGTACCCTAAGGTAACAACAACATTGAGCACAATGCTTATTATTTTTCCCTTCAATCTCACATTCTTACATATATTTGTTTCATATACTAAAACCTTTTTTTCCTTTCACACATTTGACAGGTTTCAGACCCATTTTTCATTATCTTTTTATTCATCGTTGTATCAGCACTTCTAAAACACTTACAAGAAGTCTTCTTAACTGGTGGAACACTCCATCAGTGGATAAATGAGCAAAGGGTCTGGATGATGAAATCAATCACTTGCCATCTATATGGATGTTTGGATGCTCTACTAAAGAAAGCTGGTATAAGAGAAGCTAGTTTCTTGCCAACTAATAAATTAGAGGATGATGAACAAACTCTGCTATATCAAATGGATAAATACGATTTTCGAGCGTCAAATATCTTTATAGTTCCAATGGTTTCCCTCCTCACTATCAACATATATTGCTTCGTAGGAGGAGTCTACAGAATGTTATTGGTGGGTGATTGGGACAAAATGTTCATACAGCTTTTCCTTGCAGTTTTTATCATTACTGTCAACTACCCCATCATTGAAGGGGTGGTGATAAGGAAGGACAAGGGACGCATTTCACAGTTGGTTGCTACACCTGTTATCTTCGCCACTGTTGTCCTTTTGGCATTTTTTAAACTACTAAGAAATGCATAAATATGCTTTACTAGCAATGTATTGTTATATATTTCTTCGGATTCTAACTGTGTTTGAGGTTGGGGAAAGAAATAGGAGAGAGAAGAAAAATGATTAAGAAATCACCTGGTATGACAGGAATATATTGACACTTACACTTTTTAATATAATACAAAATTAATTAATCAATCAATCTGTTGAATAATCTATTATATATATATATATATATATATATATATATATATATATATAATATTACACAATTTAAATATTTACTTATATTTTAAAAATATAGGTTCAAGTTAACGTGAGCTAGCTAGTAAATTATGCATGAGTGAGTTAGCATGTTATAACCGTTAGATATAATTAAAAATAAATTAATGGTTGATATCTTTTAACCATTAATTTATTTTTACCTAATGATGCTATTTTTTATAAATTTATTATTTAATATTTCATTAAAATTTTAAAAATTACTATTTAGACGTTCAGTGTTATTATTTTAAATCTTGATAGGATGCATTGATATAACGTTTAATATCATTTTATATATATATATATATATATATATATATATATATATATATATATAATCATGTAGTTTTAAATCATCATAAAAAAGTAACTTTTGTATTAATTAATATAATGTTCAATATCGTTTTACTTGCATCCATGAAGTTTTAATTCATCATTGAAAGTAACTTTTATATTAATAAAATATTCAATATAATTTGATTTTTCATGCAAATTCCATATTAACAGTTAAGACTTATACATGCAATTTTATAATTTTAATTCATTGTGAAAATCAGTTTATATATTTATAGAATGTTCAATATTATTTTAAATTTTTCTTACACATTGGTTGTATTTGTATAGGCATTTGCAAAATTCACTTAAGTCAATTTAGAAGCTTTATTAAAAAAGAAAAATGTACTAACTGAAATAAAATCGTTTAAGGTGAAACTAAATTGCATAAGTCAAACATATTATACTCAAGCAAAACTCTATCCGTTTAAGTGAATAAATGTTTGCTAAAGCAAGCAAGGAAATAATTATTTAAGTAAAATTAGGGTTAAAATTTTCTTTATATTATATTCATTTTTTCACTTAAGCCAAGGAATTACGGCTCAACCAAAAAACTGTAGACCTAAGCAAAAATGCGTTTCAATTTTAATTTTTTAGGATCATGTTATATTTTAAGTTGATAATTGAACAAATATCTTAATAAAAATTAGTTTTGTCATTCAATTCTCTTAAAGTAGCCTACAAAGTAAAACAATTGGTTTCATCTTCGGAAGGACAATCAAGATCTTTAGAAATGTTTCCACAAGCTTTACCACAAGAAAGGAGTGTCATGGCAGTGTATGCAGATGATGAAAAAATAGTGATCCTAAGAACTAAGAAAGGAGCAAGATGGAGACTAAAAATAAGTAGAAAACAAACTCTTGAAGAAACCTTTAAAAGTATTTAATTTTGTTGAGAATATTCACATAAGGTTAGTTATATTGGTTAAAAATGATGTTAACATCATTTCTAAAAGCATGCAAATTAAGGTTTTTTTTTAATAAATATTCTAATGTAAATGTAACATGTTTTGTTCTTTTTTTTTAACATTACTCATATCTTTGTTTTTTTCCTTGAAGATATAATTCACTAAAGGTTTGAGTTTTAACAAAATGTTGTACTCTAATAAAATCAATTTAAGTATCAACCGTGTTATATTTAAGAAGTGAATTAATTTAATATTCAAAGAAAAATAGTTGTTGAATGTTGCTTGGAATAACAATCCAAGAAATGCAAGTGATTACTAATTTTAGATAAATTATTAAATATATTTTTTTAACTATAATTTGAATTAAACTTGAAAATAATGAAGCTTGATCAAGCACATTATTAAGTCTAATTAAATATTTAAACAACTGAATTGCACTTGTAGTGTTAAACATTAAAGTATGTACAATTTAGGTTCGGTTAGTTTTAATTGTTCATATTTAATTCTTTTTTTCATATGATCAAATCAAGTCATCTGCCATAAAATTAAGAGTTATATTATATTTATGCATATTATTTTATTTTTTATTAAAAATTTGTATATTTTTCTTAACTTATTTATATAAATCAATACAATATAATATTTGTATTATATTTTTATTAATTATTGGATCAAGTTGTACGATAGAGAACTTGATTTTAGTTTTAAGAAATCAAAATAAAAAATTAAATATGAGCACTATTATTTGAAGGATTAAAACTTCACATACATTAAAAAATACATACCAAATGTACACTTAAGCCTATTAAAATTTAAAGTGAATCCAAATTTAAATTGAAATATAGTAAAAAAGTAATAAAAATAAAGGTAACTTATTTAGAAGTCATGACATAATTTGATATTGTTCTAATTTAAGATTGGCATTTCAAACTATATTATACTAGTTATTTTGGTAATCTAATTTAAAATAAAATAAATGATACAACATATATGAAAAATGTAAATTTAATCTTAATTTGAATTTAATTTTTTTTTATATTTTTCTCAATATTTATTTTTATCATCCATTTTATGGTAAATTTAATTAATTCATTTTGTATAATAAAATATAACATTTAGATTATATAGTTTAACTAATTGCATATTCAATAAATTTCTTTTATGTTAAGGCTTTTATCATAAATTTATAATATATTTAAGACCACGCCTTAATTAATTTATAATTACATAAATTATTTTATACGAGAGATTATACTTTAAATTTGGTCATAAAACTTTTTATAATAAGTCATACTAAGAAACTTATCAAATTAAGTAAAAAGAAAACTTATGATAATCATAAATATTTGCAAAATTTTTTAAATGCATGATTGTCAATGAAATCAATTTAAAATAGAATTGAGTTTGTTTGAAACTGTGAATAAGGTAAAGTAATTAAAAGGTCAAAATAGTAATATTAAAAAAATTGAAACAAATTTTATTACCCTCCACATGATTATATTCTTTGTTTTATAATTATAATGACGAATTAACCAATCAACCATAATTATTGACTTTTATAATAATTATTTTAATTTTTTAAACACTTTTAGTTAAATGGTAAAAAGATTTAGTAGCATTAGTTACTTTAATAAATGAAAATTTGTTCGTCAACAAATATTTAAACAATTAAAATATGGTTTTAAATATAAATTTTTTTTACTAAATATATTCTTAAGCTTAATATTAACTTTTACATTCGAATGTAAGTACAAATTCAAATTGTTATAAATACTAAAAATTAAAAATTAAGATAACTTATATTACGAATGAATCAAATAATATAATAGCAAAAATTTTAGTTTTTATACTATTATTAATTTTATATTGAAATTTGAGACTATAGCATGAGTTAGTTAAATAATATAATATTAAATTCATTAAATTACATATGACTAAACAAGTATTATTTTATGGTGATTAACAAATGTGTTTATGTTTGTGTACATATGTATATACTTATGTTTATTAAAATAAGTTTATGTCTATTTTATTTTGAAATTTGAATTAATTATTTAGATGAAGATAATAAATATAGAATCTGGAAAGATATTTTTAATAAAAAATTATGATTTTTTGAATATTTGATAAAGTAATGATAGAATAATTGTAATAAACAAGTTTAGAGAATAAGATACAAAAGATCAACAAATATACATATTTAAATAAATGATGGGAACTATTAAAAATGTAATTTTGAACCTTAATTTCACTGAAGTTAATACAAATTTGCTTATTCACATAAATGATGGGAATTTTTAAAAATGTTATTTTGAATCTTGATTTCGCTTAAGTCAATACAAACTTGCTTAAGTATCTTTAGGGCAATTTAATGCATTAATAAAAAAAATAGCTTCCACGGTATATTGTTTGGTTAAGTGAATTTGAAGCATAACAATATTTTTTATAACCCTTAATTTGTTTAAGCAAATTAAGTTTTTGTTAAAGCAAAATCAAGGCAATGACATAATGTTGAATGGTTAAATTTTCTTAAACCAAGAATAAATCACTCAAGTGAAATGTTAGAATTAAATTCTCTCTTTTAGTATTAAAATTGGCTTAACCTGCAAGGAAATTCTTTCACGTCGCTTTTGATTTCTCCCTCTATTGGTTGCGCATCGATGAAGATGGTGATGAATGTTTATTGAGCATCAGAGATCCAAGTGAAGGGGACAAAAATGGATTGCAAGAATTGGTGCCAATTGAATTCGTTATAGTCTCTGCTGGCTGCTATGGCCTCTTCTGCAAAAAAAAATCAGAACCCTAAGGTCTGAATCGCTAGAAAAAAATTGAAACACAATAAAGGAGTTGGAGAACTCAATGGTGGAACGAAGGTCTAGGGGAGGGGTAAATTTGGTGGGCATCTTAAGAAAGTTCTAACAATTCCACGTCTTATTTCTTTAACAAATTTTCCACTTATCATTGGTGTCTTGGCCTTATAGCGGGTGTTTCAACGATAGGGGAAAGTGGTTGATGTTTTCATACCTCAAAAGAATGACAAACTAGGACATCGTTTTAGTTTTGTGCGTTTTGTGAATGTGGCGGATGCCAAGAATTTGGAGGCTAAGCTTATATGTCATTGGCAGGATGCGCTTGTCTTTGACGATGCATGCAAGAGAGAAAATTGTGGGTACAAAGGTGTCTGTGGAGAGCGGTGAAATGAGACACTCCTTTGTCACAGGGGCTACAAAGATGTTAGAGAATACGTATGTGAACAAGCTTAAAGCACCCCACCTAGTTTAGACTCACATGGGACAAAAGTGGGTGAAAAAGAAGAAACCTTGAACTCACCTTGAGTTTGAGGTGAATGAGGAGCGGATTGAGGAGTGTAGAGGTGATATGATCGGACCCCTTCATAGAAAATAGGATTTAAAAAATATGCGAGGGGCTCTCCTGCAGGAAGGTATGTTGGATAATAATCTCACAACCATAGGTGATGACATGGTATAAAGATGTTATGGTCGAACGCTTTTATAGAAAATAAGAT